TGGATGGCTTCATGGACAAAGCTGGTGGTTCTCATGCGTTGATACGCTGCGACGGTTACTTCTGCGACCTATTGTCTATCCATCCGTACACATTAATTTCTGACTCATCATGGCTAATCTGGACGGATGTACGGTTGGCGAATACACACCCAGCTTGTGTGTATTTGATCTGGGGCCGGGGGAGGTCGTGGCGCTGCGATCCCCTGACCTCATGTCGTGCATGACTGATTGCGGCTGGCCCGGTGAACCTTGTTTTGTGCCCAACTCAGGGGCACCGCAATGTGACCTGTCCTGCGAGGGTCGGTCAATCACCTTGCACCGGGAAACTGTGGGACTTTCCTCCTAGGGACCCCTCAGATTAAAACCCGTTGTTCCAGGCAATCCCCCGCCAGGACACCACGTTTGTGCGCTGCGTGTGTGTGATTAGTTTGGGGGCTAGGGGGGAGTTATGGCACTTTCGGAGTTGCTATGTGGCACCACAGAACACTTGAAATAAAGTTCTGCCATTTCACAAACCTCTGGTGCTCAGCTTTTGTGGAGTCGCCCACTTATCCAGAGGACAGAGCACACCCCGGAGTATCTGCTCATCGTTTCTGAACTTGGTTATTTTTATTGTATATTTAGCCTCGTTAGGATCCACAGGAGGAGAGGGACAGGGCGGACCGACGACACGGTGCCGTGACTCGGATTTTTAAAATGCTAGTTCTCATGGCACAGATCAACTTAAATATCACTCCCAAAGCGAATTTATCTACTATGCAAATTCAAAGTATGGCACAAAATCATAATTACTTAATGAAAAAATAACAACTTCATACTCTTTGGTTCTTTTCGGTAAAGTCACGTCGGTGAAAAATAAAATCACAAAAATCACGACGTTTCGGCCACAACACAAGTGGCCTTCATCAGGTGAACGGACAGTGCTGTCATGAGGATAGCGTTGCAGTGAAAACAGACAAGCCCAGGTCTCGTCCTTTAAGCTATGTGGGAGGAAGCAAAACGCTTGACAAAGGAATTAGCATAAAAATGAGCATGATGTACGTAGGAGGTGCATGGGCCATGATGGACCAGGAGCGGGTCGGGATCATGACGGACCAGCAGCGGGGGGGGGGGGGGGGGGGGGGAGTAGAGTGAGTGAGTGGAGTGAGTGAGTGGAGTGAGTGAGTGGAGTGAGTGAGTGGAGTGAGTGAGTGAAGTGAGTGAGTGGAGTGAGTGAGTGGAGTGAGTGAGTGAAGTGAGTGGAGTGAGTGAGTGGAGTGAGTGAGTGAGTGGAGTGAGTGGAGTGAGTGAGTGGAGAGAAATAAGCAGCTGTGAAAGTTTGGAATACCACTACTTGAACATTTTTTTACTGTACCATGGAAAATTTGTTCAATGTTTGGTTTGATTTAGAACATCTTTCCAATGATTGCTTAATTTGAAACCATCCTCTCGGTTGAAATTGTGTCTGTGTTTGTAAATCTGAATTGCCTCGTGGACAAATCTCTGATAAAAACCCGTGGGTTTGCAGAGAACCTTGGTATCGGAGAAAACTATATCATGATTACCCACAGCGTTGTAACAGTGGTCAGCTACAGCAGAAGAATTCGTTCTGCTGTGTTTCAAATCTGATTTGTGCTCGCGAATTCGGTCAGAGACATGTCGCATCGTCTCCCCGATATAGCAATCACTACAAGTGCAGCTCAATTTGTAAACCCAGGGGTACTGTAAGTCAGGAACGACATCCTTCACGGATGGGATCAGGTCACGGATTTTGTGTACTGTATTGAACCGGACCAGGATCTTGTGTTTGTTTAGAATTTTGGAGATCTTTTTAGTAACGCCTGCTATATATGGTAGTGTGATGGTTTTGACCGGAGAATCAAGTGGTTGTTTCTGTATGGAGGGAGAAACAGCTTGGCGGATGGTACGGTCAGAGTATCCGTTTCTCTTGAGGGCCAGGTGTGGGTGGGCTTCCTGTAGACAATCTGAAAACAGTACTAGCTAGAGGGCTACATTTTGCTGTCACCCCGAAACATATTCCTGTAAATGATATCATCTCTCAGGTCGATGTGGCCCTAAAAGGTATAGGACACATCCAAGCAGACGTTACGAGAACTGAAATAGCCACTATTCTTAAGAATGCTAAGAAACCCCTTAGCAACATCAGCAAAAATGAACGCTCTGAACTCGCGAATTAAAAAAACAGAAGTGATATAGTCATTCTCTCAGCCGACAAAGGCAACGTGACTGTAATTATGGATAAAGATTCGTACAACAACAAAATCCAGAACCTACTCAACGATGGACGTTGCTCAAAAATTAAAAATTACCCTACTAATAGCCTAACCATGAAAACTAACAAGATCATCACAAGTTCGACCTCCCTAATCGAGCCAACTAAACGTCCCTCCTTAAAACCTTCTGCTGAAAGACCCTCTAGATGCTATGGTATCCCCAAGATTCATAAAGAAGGCACTCCACTACGACCCATCGTATCCACGATCAACTCCCCAACCTATAAGCTAGCACCTTTTCTGTCAGATACCTTGCTACCTTTCACTGGCAAGACCTCCTCAGCAGAACTTAACTCAGCTCATTTGGTCTCTATGGTCAAAGACGTTGTATTGTCCCCTGACGATATCCTTGTCAGCTTCGATGTGGTCTCCCTGTTCACCAAGGTCCCGGTACCTGATACCATTGAAATTATTGAAAATTTGATACAACATGGACTAGACCCCGATACACCTGCGTTGATTAGACACTGCCTCACCAATACCTGCTTTACTTGGAATGGCACCTTCTACAAACAAAATGAGGGTACCCCCATGGGTTCTCCCTTATCACCAGTGATAGCCAATGTTTTCATGGAGAAATTTGAATCAGACGCCATCCAGACTTCCACCCTCAGACCTTCCCTGTGGAAGAGATATGTGGATGATACTTTCGTCATTTGGCCACATGGCCTCCCAGTTTTGAACCTTTTCCTACACCACATCAATTCTAGACATCCCGCCATCAAATTCACCATGGAAGTGGAGAAAGATGGCAAGCTACCATTCTTGGATGTTCTGTTTAAGAGGAGACCTGATGGCTCACTGGGGCATTCTGTCTACAGGAAACCCACCCACACAGATTCCTACTTGAAACCTGATTCCTACCACCACCCCGCTCAAAATAATTATCTCATCAAAACGTTATATCACAGGGGACATTGCACTTCGGACCAACACCACCTGACCAGTGAATTAAAACATGTACACCTGGCCCTCAAGAGAAACGGATACTCTGACCGTACCATCCGCCAAGCTGTTTCTCCCTCCATACAGAAACAACCACTTGATACTCCGGTCAAAACCATCACACTAGCATATATAGCAGGCGTTACTAAAAAGATCTCCAAAATTCTAAACAAACACAAGATGCTGGTCCGGTTCACTACAGTACACAAAATCCGTGACCTGATCCCATCCGTGAAGGATGTCGTTCCTGACTTACAGTACCCCGGGGTTTACAAATTAAGCTGCACTTGTGGTGATTGCTATATCGGGGAGACGAAGTGACATGTCTCTGACCGAATTCGCGAGCACAAATCAGATTTGAAACACGGCAGAACGAATTCTTCTGCCGTAGCTGACCACTGTTACAACGCTGTGGGTGATCACGATATAGTTTTCTCTGATACCAAGGTTCTCTGCAAACCCACGGGTTTTTATCAAAGATTTGTCCACGAGGCAATTCAGATTTACAAACACAGAAACAATTTCAACCGAGAGAATGGTTTCAAATTAAGCAATCATTGGAAAGATGTTCTAAATCAAACCAAACATTAAACTTATTTTCTATGGTACAGTAAATTTTCTTTTCAAGTAGTGGTATCCCTAACTTTCACAGCTGCTTATTTCTCTCCACTCACTCACTCACTCTACTCACTCCACTCACTCCACTCACTCACTCCACTCACTCCACTCACTTATTCACTCCACTCACTTACTCCACTCACTCACTCCACTCACTCACTCACTCCACCGACTCACTCCACTCACTCACTCCACCGACTCACTCCACTCACTCACTCCACTCACTCCACTCACTCACTCCACTCACTCCACTCACTCACTCACTCCACTCACTCCACTCACTCACTCACTCCACTCACTCACTCACTCCACTCACTCACTCATTCCACTCACTCACTCCACTCACTCCACTCACTCACTCCACTCACTGCACTCACTCACTCCACTCACTCACTCCACTCACTCCACTCACTCACACCACTTACTCACTCCACTCACTCACTCTACTTCCCCCCCCCCCCCCCCCGCTGCTGGTCCGTCATGGTCCCTACCCGCTCCTGGTCCATCATGGCCCATGCACCTGCTACGTACATCGTGCTCATTTTTATGCTAATTCCTTTGTCAAGCGTTTTGCTTCTGCCCACACAGCTTAAAAGACGCGATCTGAGCTTGGCTGTCTTCACTCCAACGCTGTCCTCATGACAGCATGGTCCCTTCACCTGATGAAGGTCACTTGTGTTGTGGCCGAAACGTCGTGATTTTTGTTTTTTTTTTATTTTTTACCTACGTGACTTTACCGAATAAGCTTCAAAGCTAGAATAACAACTTCAGTTTATTAGATCTTAATATGTTTGTTTTCAGGGCCCTCAATATAATACTTTTGCGACATTTGCACTTTATTTTATTGCAATGAAAGTAATAATTTTGTTCGAAAATCATGAGAATATTCATTCAAAAAAATGGCCAAGCTTTGTATTTCAAACGTTATAGTCAACGTCACCTCAATATATTACTCAAAACTTAAAATGTTAAAACTTAAGCTTACGTCACCTCTCTGCATGAGAACGTATCGACTCACCTCATATGGCACAAGACATGTACCAGCCATCTAAGGGCAAAGGCTGCAATCGATTTTTTAGTTGAAACTCGCTGCTACGCAGCAGATTTTCTGTATAAAAGGGGCTGCCCAACGGCAGGAAGCCAGCACCGTCTACCACAGTCGCAATGTCTCTCTTCTGGCTCGTCTCCTGCTTCGCCTTCATCGGCGCTACCTTCGGTGAGTGTCTATTATAGTCATTGGTGTTTCAGATGCAGCATTTTAGTTTTTATAAAAGATGTTCACAGGGTTATTGGCCAAAACGTATTAGCCCCTTCAGCCGTGCATCTATTTAAGTTGATATAAATGTGCGATTTTTTATGGAATTTTAAGTGACCTATTCCTCCCAGGTCACTTCAATGAGGAAACCACTTTGTGGGAATTCAAGAGATGCCATATGGAGAATTTTCAACAATGGCTCATGACCACCTACATTGATAAGCAAGGTCCACAATTCATTGAGAACAGAGATGCTTTAACTTGGTGTTTGATGTATTATAGGGTGCGGTGTCCCGGCCATCAAGCCGGTCATCACCGGCTACTCCCGCATCGTCAACGGCGAGGATGCAGTGTCGGGCTCCTGGCCCTGGCAGGTGTCCCTGCAGGTGAGTCCTCAATGTTAGCGTATCGTGAGTCCACATCAACATGAACCATATCGCGGTGTTCCCAACAGACATGACAGTCAGCCCATACGAAGTGCTGTTTGGTATGTGAGGTGTGCTGCGCGTGTCCCAGAGTGCGACACAACACCAATTCTGTCGTGTCTTGCCACTACAGGATTCCACCACGTGGCACTATTGCGGTGGCTCCCTCATCGACCCCTCATGGGTGGTGACCGCTGCCCACTGCGAGTTCAAGTAAGCGCATGCAAGAGTCACTGCGCCAGCGTAGCACCGCTCATTGTTAACGATTTAAAAGGAGCCAGAACATCTTTCTCAATTAGTAAATGTTCGGTTTCTTAAATGCGTTCGCAGCCCGTCCATTGACCGCGTCGTCCTGGGCGAGCACGACAGGAACTCCAACGCCGAGAACATCCAGTCTCTTGTCGTCTCTAAGGTAAACTTACGAGCTATGAAATTATCTCATGAACAATCCCCTCAACTTGTTAGACATTGAAATGGATGAAGTTCAACAGAGACCAAGTGTTTTTGATTTAAAGCTTTCGTGACTGTAGGGATTCATATTCTTGGTTCTTTCGGTTTTATAAAGCAATTTTGTTAATATTTTTAATATTTTATTATTTCTCTTCTACGTGACTTTACCGAAAGAACCAAGAATATAGAGACCAAGTGTATTGATCAAGTACCCTGAATAAAACAAACGTAGTTAGTTTAAGGTATTCTAACATCTCGTTCTGTTTGCACACACAGGCCATCACTCACCAGCAGTGGGACTCCTACAACATCAACAACGACATCATGTTGCTGAAGCTGGCTCAGCCCGCTCAGATCGTGGACCGTGTCTCTCCCGTCTGCCTGCCTGCCGCCTCGGATGTCTTTGCTGATAACATGATGTGTGTCACCTCCGGCTGGGGCAAGGTCCGCTCTTCCGGTGAGCATCGATGACCAATAATTAACACAATTTACTTTGTGCATGGTATTCATGTGGACTTCCTAAAGCTAGATGGACTTGAAAACTTTGAGATTAATTCGTGCCAAATAGAGTTATTAATAAACATGATCAACTATATAATCTGTTACCTCAAAAGAGATGATCTAACCATTCTTCTATGTTATTTGGCATTCTTCTATGTGTGCGTTCACAGCCTTCAACACGCCTCCCATCCTGCAGCAGACCGCTCTGCCCATTGTGCCTACCGCCACCTGCCAGCAGAAGTGGGGCACCGTGAACGTCATCACCAGCGTCATGATCTGCGCTGGTGGTGCTGGAGCTAGCTCCTGCATGGTAAACGTTAACGGTATTTCTTTACGTAGCTAAAGTTACATTTTGATTTAAAGCTTTCGTGACTACAGTAATTCATATTCTTAGCTCTCTCGGTAAAGTCACGTTTTATATTTTATTATTTTATTGTTTCCCTTCAATGTGACTTAACCGAAAGAGCTAAGATTATGTAGCTAAAGTTGTTATATCTGAAGTAAGTGTTTCATATCTACATCTGAAGGTTTAAGGATGGTGGGGTTTATGGGCCTATCTTGTAAAATGTAACGTATTTGAAAATAAACCCTTGATGAAAGTATTTGCCACGATAATAGGGTTGACATGCTTAATTTTTAGTGGGAATATCATTTTTTTTAAATCAACAAATATAAATTAGTGACAGCTCATTATTACCATGCACAATGCACATACAATACTTTAAAAAATGTGGAATGATTGCAGACTTTCACCACCATCTACGTGAAGTGTATCTCAACACAACTCAGTTGTCATCAAAGATGGGTAGGCAGATTTTAGTTTATTCTGTCTCGACATCGAAGGTCGTTTTCATACTCTTGTCGCTATGCACCTTGCGTGTCTTCTCCATAGGGTGACTCCGGCGGCCCCCTGGTGTGCGAGAAGAACGGCGTGTGGAACCTTGTGGGGATCGTGTCGTGGGGCAGCAGCTCGTGCTCCACCAGCATGCCGGCCGTGTACGCGCGCGTCACTGCCCTGCGCAGCTGGATTGACCAGACCATGGCTGCCAACTAGACACACCGATGGGCAACGATTCAGTAATTGCTTTCAATTGGTCGCATTGGATTCGTGATTGTGAACACCTTGGATTAGATATGATTCCATTGCTTGTGTTGATGATATGTTGTATCGTTAATAAACAAAGTGCTGACGAATAATTTTTCTCAATAATCTTTGGTTCTTTCGGCAAAGTCAGGTAGGTAGAAAAATAAATAAAAAATCACGACGTTTTGTTTGCAACACAAGCAATCGTCATCAGGTGGAAAGTTACAGCAGTAGAACTGCTGAACAGGAAAGGGCTGCTGCAACAAGAGGTTATATATAGTTTTGAGGAGGGTGTCACTCAAGGGTAAGTAGGCGGGGTCAGAGATAGAAAGGAGTCCCGTCGCCGCATGCACGCACAACAGCTGCGTTAAAGGGAGAGATTGGCGTGTTAATGTAAACGAGTATGATGGAAAATGAGCCCCGTCGTCGCACACGAGCGCCGTCGCCGCACACACGCACAGCAGCTGCATTAAACGGAGAGATTGCCATGTTAATGTAAACGAATATAATGGAAAAATTCAGCCCCGTCTTCGCACACGAGCACCGTCGCCGCACTCACGCACAGCAGCTGTGTTAATGAGGGAGATTGGCATGTCAATGTAAACGATTTTAATGGGAAGATGGCATGTCTGTGTCAGAGGACCGGGCATAGCGCCACCTCATGGGCAACACAAGCTGCGGCATTGGTTGCTGCACAGTGAGAGGACAGCGCATCAACGCAAGAGAACCACCGTAACGGCGGCCGTGCCAGTGAGACATACAGCTTATTAAACAGCGAGAGCTACCGTTACATCGAGGTGGTTATGTTAGTGAGACCTTAGTCTGTTACTGTAAAGACATTTAAAAAGGTGATGTAATTCAGAGAGTCGGAAATAACTGCTAAACGGCAGGAAGGATTGAAATATCACAGCAAGTTATGAGTTTACCTGGTTAATAACATCCTTCCAATGTAAAGTTTTTGGGTTAGATTACGTTATTTATAAATGTGCCGTAACCCTCCACCACCCGACACGGACAATCAGTAAAAAAAGTGTCACGTTGACAAAAGACAAATAGTTCACTACTTTAGCCCACCTGTGTGTTGAAGAGTGAATCCACAACATTTACATTTTTTTTAGTACAACGTTTTGCTGGTAATTACATCCAGCATCATCGGGCAATTTGCCAGAATGGTGAAGCCCTCACTTGCTCCGGGTCTTAAATAGAGCAGCAAAAGCCTTAAAAAGAGCTCCAATTAAATAAAGATATTCAAATCCTGGTAGATAATAAAGGCCGCACTACTGTGGTGATGTCACGAGCCGATTGTGATAATAAAATTAAAGATTTACTAGAGGCAAAGTACGTACATTAAAATCTAACGAGATCCAACTCATACTTGAGAACGTAAGACTATTGCAATCATTCAAAATTCATTAATCCCTATGAATGAGCAATAACAAATTAAGCCAAGGCCTCAAAACCACCTAGACTATATCGGCTAACAAATATTCGTAAAATTGGAATCCCATTACGACCCATAGTCAGTACAATTGGCTCTGCCACATTTAAATAAGCAAAATATATAACTAAACAAATACAGCCCTACATCGACAGTACATCTTAATTCATAAGAAATTCAGAACATCTTGTGAATGTGATTAAAGATATTAAACTTAACTCTAATGATATTCTGGTGAGTTTTTACGTGATTCTCTATCCACTAAGGTTCCAATTCTTTACACTAGTAAAGAACACAGGTTTACCAAAATATATTCTGAAACTCGCTGACCATTGTTTGAATAACACCTACTTCTTATGGAGAGGTGATTTCCTTAAACAAAAGGAAGGAGCAGCAATGGGCTCTCCTTTATCTCCTGCTATAGCAAATCTGTACGTGGAATACTTTGAAAGAAGAGCAATTGCCTCGAGTACATTAAACCCATGATTTTGGTTTAGATATGTGGATGACACTTTTGTTGTCTGGCCACATTGTAAAGATACACTTAATGATTTTCTAAATCATCTCAATGCACAAAACCCGACCATCCAGTTCACCATGGAAATGGAGGTAAATAATACTCCCATTCCTAGATATTTTGCTTGGACATGGCATAAATGGTAAAATAACACAGCGTTTACAGAAAGCGAACGCACACTGATGCCTATCTGAATGCAAATTCACATTATCACCCAGCTCAGAAATCCTCTCTTATCAAGACGCTCATACATCGGGCTAAAACAGTGTCAGAAGGTGAAAGTCTAGTGAGAGAGATGAAATATGTTAAAGAAGCACTACGACAGAATGGCTACAATAATGCTCAAATTAACAGAGCACTGAATGCCAAATCACGATCGCAAAGCAACACTGCTGAAAGCGATCAGATTGTTAAAACAATTAAAATACCATATATTTCAGGAGTAACTGACAAATTAGCCTATGTTTTGCAAAAGCAAAACATTAAAGTAAGATTTGGTACAGTACACAAAATTCAAAAACTAGTATCTTGCACGAAAGACGAATTACCTAAATTATCAACAGAAGGTGTATATCGGATTAATTGTTTATGTGGCAGATGCTACATTGGACAGACGGAACATAACATCAGCGTTAGACTAAAAGAACACCAAAGAAATATTAAATTATCTCAAACACAACTGTCGGCAGTGACAGAACATGCTTGCCAACAAGGACACGTATTATTACTGGCAAAGACTAATTAGAGAATCCATTGAAATTGAGAGAAATAGAAATAACTTTAATTGCTCTGACAGTTACAGACTTAGTGCAGCCTTGAAGCATATTTTTAAATAATACGTATTACATTTCCTTATAGGGGAAACACATGATAATTAACGGATTACATACGTAGCATATAGTTACAATAACACACATTACAACTAATTACCAATCTACAACTTATTACTAATTATAATAATTTACTGATTACTAATCTATTATATAATTACAATACCCCCCCCCTCGCCTCAAATCACTGCACCTGAATGAGTTAAATGATGACGTCACCCTGCTGCTCTATTTAAGACCGGGAGCAAGTGAGGGCTTCACCATACTGGCAAATTGCCCGATGATGTTGGATGTAATTACCAGCGAAACGTCGTACAATTTTTTTTAAATGCTGTGGATTCACTCTTCAACACACCAGTGGGCTAAAGTAGTGAACTATTTGTCCTTTGTCAACGTGACACTTTTTTTACTGATTGTCCGTGTCGGGTGGTGGAGGGTTTCGGCACATTTATAAATAACACGATCTAACCCAAATACTTGTATTATGAATAATATTTGTCGCGACAGCCTATGTGTTAAACTGATCCTTCCAATGATTGCTCAGTTTGTAACCATCTTCTCGGTTGAAATTTTGTTTAAATATCTGGATGGCTTCATGGACAAAGCTGGTGGTTCTCTTGCGTTGATACGCTGCGACGGTTACTTCTGCGACCTATTGTCTATCCATCCGTACACATTAATTTCTGACTCATCATGGCTAATCTGGACGGATGTATAGGCTGGCGAATACACACCCAGCTTGTGTGTATTTGGTCTGGGGACGGGGGAGGTCGTGGCACTGCGATCCCCTGACCTCATGTCGTGCATGACTCATTGCGGCTGGCCTGATGAACCTTGTTTTGCGCCCAACTCATCAGGGGCACCGCGATGTGACCTGTCCTGCGAGGGTCGGTCAATCTTCTTGCACCGGGAAACTGTGGGACTTTCCTCCAAGGGACCCCTCAGATTAAAACCCGTTGTGCCAGGCAATCCCCCGCCAGGACACTACGTTTGTGCGCTGCGTGTGTGTGATTAGTTTGGGGGCCAGGGGGGAGTTACGGCACTTGCGGAGTTGCTCCATGGCGCCACAGAACACTTGAAATAAAGTTTTGCCGTTTCACAAACCTCTAGTGCTCAGCTTTGTGGAGTCGCCCACTTCTCCAGAGGACAGAGCACAACACGGAGTATCTGCTCATCGTTTCTGAACTTTGTTATTTTTATTGTATATTTGACCTCGTTAGGATCCACAGGAGGAGAAGGACAGGGCGGACCGACAACTCGGTGCCGTGACTCGGATTTTTAAAATGCTAGTTCTCAATGCACAGATCAACTTAAATATCACTCCCAAAGCCAATATATCTACGATGCAAATTCAAAGTATGGCACAAAATCATAATTACTTAATGAAAAAATAACAACTTCATACTCTTTGGTTCTATTCGGTAAAGTCACGTCGATAAAAAATAAAAAAACAAAAATCACGACATTTCGGCCACAACACAAGTGGCCTTCATCAGGTGAAGGGACCGTGCTGTCATGAGGACAGCGTTGGAGTGAAAACAGCCAAGCCCAGGTCGCGTCCTTTAAGCTGTGTGGGAGGAAGCAAAACGCTTGACAAAGGAATTTGCATGAAAATGAGCACGATGTACGTAGCAGGTGCATGGGCCACGATGGACCAGGAGCGGGTGGGGACCATGACAGACCAGCAGCGGGGGGGGAGGGGGGGGCGGGGGGGGACACTAGAGGGAGTGAGTGGAGTGAGTGAGTGGAGTGAGTGGAGTGAGTGAGTGAATAGAGTGAGTGAGCGGAGTGAGTGAGTGGAGTGAGTGAGTGAGTGGAGTAAGTGAGTGGAGTGAGTGAATGGAGTGAGTGAGTGGCGTGAGTGAGTGGAGTGAGTGGAGTGAGTGAGTGGAGTGAGTGAGTGGAGTGAGTGAGTGGAGTGGGCAAGTGAGTGGAGTGAGTGAGTGGAGTGAGTGGAGTGAGTGAGTGAGTGGAGTGAGTGAGTGGAGTGAGTGAGTGAGTGGAGTGAGTGAGTGGAGTGAGTGGAGTGAGTGAGTGGAGTGAGTGGAGTGGGTGAGTGAGTGGAGTAAGTGGAGTGAGTGAGTGTAGTGAGTGGAGTGAGTGAGTGGAGTGAGTGGAGTGAGTGAGTGAGTGGAGTGAGTGAGTGGCGTGAGTGAGTGGAGTGAGTGAGTGGAGTGAATGAGTGAATGGAGTGATTGAGTGGAGTAAGTGGAGTGAGTGGGTGGATTCAGTGAGTGGAGTGAGTGAAGTGAGTGAGTGGTGTGAGTGAGTGGAGTGAGTGGAGTGAGTGAGTGGAGAGAAATAGGCAGCTGTGAAAGTTTGGGATACCACTACTTGAAATTTTTTTTACTGTACCATAGA